AGCCTACGACGCCATTGGGGACCTCTTTGCAGATCAGCCCCGGCAGGATCTAGATCCTGTGATGGACCTGTTGGCGCTCTATCAGGGGCATTTGGCCAACTTCCCAGACATCATCCATGTCCAGAAAGGTAACGCCCTTATGTATCTTCCAAAATGAGGAAATTTTACTTATTGGTGGTATGCACGTGGAGGGAGGAAGCAGAGGCTGAATTTGTGCTGGGTCTGGCTTTCTCGACTTGGGCTAAGTCTTTCAGTGTTTATTCAGGTAAACTGATGCTACAAAACAAAGCACAGCAGTGATAATTTTCATTCTGTGCCAAAGGCCTAAATTTGATTGGGAATGTTATTGGTTAAAGGTCACCAAGTTTGGCTGTGTGTATGTGTATGTGTGTGTGTGTATATATATATATATATGTACAGGAAACCATATCTGTCTATACTACAGCTATACTAAAGATTAAAGAGCTTGTTTAGAAATGAAGTGGTGTGAAAATATGTATTACTCTTTTATATATGTTAGATCTTAGATATTAGGTCTTAAATCTCTGAAGTAACCAGAAGATACTCCAGTTGCTCATCCTGTTTGAGGTTTAGCCTCATAATGTTGTGTTGCACGTGTTTTGCAGTGTAAGACATTCAGAAGAGATGTTTTAAGCAGCTGGCTTTTGTCTGCTTGGCTACACACTAAACACTTTTAATGCTTTCTTGAGGTTAATAGTCTGCCAGCATGTTCGAAGCAGGAATTGTTCAGCTTCTTGTTATCATGAAAAGGTGTTGCTTGTCTGTTAACCTTGCTGCAGCTTTGTGCCTGAAATGCAGCTCTTCAGGTTCCCGCTGCTGTTTGTGTAGCACTTTGTGATTCACAGGAGAGAAATCTCCAAATTGTCATCTGCTGGGTAACTAGTGGCAGTTGTTCAGAGAAGTAGAAGTTTCTAATGCTAAATGTGTATAGGTGTTTTTGCTGCTGTGTGGTTAATATTCTTCATATCTCACTTTGCTGTTATATTCCTTTTCCATGATTTTCAACTTGAAGATCAGAGGTGTGTGGGGATTATAGCTGTGAAAGTGACCAAGAAAGCATCAAATAGGCTGTACAGAAAATGATGTGTTTAACACACAACAAAATAGGTGAGCTGCTTCTCTGGAATTTTTTTAGACATTCTTAGCTATTGTTCTGTATCCTAAGTGGCAGCACTTGCATTGTCAATCACAGTGAATCAGTCATTTTTCCACTTTTGAGACTTTTTAAATGAATTTTGCGTGTAAAGCAGTACCTTCAGATTTAGGACAAAATAATTTGAAAAAGCCAGCTTTCAGAAAGTCTGCGTTATTGCTGGGAAAAGCTGAGAAATGGGAGTTGGGATAAAGAGACAATTTGTTTTTGTGTAAGAAAATATGTTTTTCATAAAAAAAATACATCAAATCCACATTATCATTGCCCTGAATAATCTTTGTGGAAGAGTGAAAACTTTGAAAATTGTAGTATTGTGTTGTAAAGAAAAGAGGACCATGGCATCTAACCTTTGAATTGTTCTTTTAGCTGGTGTGGCATTGTGTCCCGATAGCAATTTTCTAGTATTTTAAATTTGGAGAGAAGGATGGCTTTGACCATATTTCGTGTTTAGGATCAGAGAATTTTAAAGTGTCAATTAACAGATTATTTACTAGCTGAAATAAAACAGCAGATAGTATATACTATTTAAGTAATATATCTTAAAGCTTTAAGACTACATAGAGTTCTTCCTTGTAGTATTTTTGAAGACTTTACTCTGAAAAGAGGATTGGGAATGAGAACATATGTGGTTAACTCAACCAGTATTTCCTTCAACTTGTATGTCTTTGCTTCCTCTGGGTCTGTTTTACTTTGCACTTATTGATGAGATTTACCTTGATGAGCTAGGAAAAGTTCTTCCAAATGAGCTTCTACTTGAGAAATCCATGAGCTTGGCACATGAGCAGATTTAGCAGCCTCTAGGCTAACACTTCTTACTTTTTTTGCTTCCTCTTCTTCCTCATCTTCTTCTTCTTCTTCATCCTCTTCCTCTTCCTCTTTTTTTTTTTCTAATAGGCAAACTGAAAGAAAATTATGAGGAAGGTCATTTTTTTCTCCCCAGTATCTTGCTATTTTACTACTCGTAAGACCTACTAATAACAAGGGATGCTTTTTCAGTTCTAATTGGTAAACTCCATTTGAAAATATGAACAGTTTGTTTGGTGTTTTTACAGCATAATTGCTTTAAATTTGCAATCTGGGAAAGTTGCCAGTATTTGAGAAATATTGTTATTTCCATAGACCAAACAAAAATTTCTTGGTGATAATAGAAAAAGCAGAGGTGAAAAAGCAGAGGTCAAAAATAGGTGAAAAATAGGTGAAAAGCAAATAGGTGAAAAAAGCAAATAGGTGAAAAGCAGAGGTCATGGGTCTTTCTTTGTTTTATTTTCTAGTGTACAACTTCATGTAATAAGAGGTAGTAGAAATAGCGGCCTGGTTAGCACATTGTTAAAATGGGCATGACTTGTGAAAAGATGAAGTTGTAAGTATTTCCACATAGTGCAAATACATTGTCCATTTGGGATGAAAAGCCCAGTTCGTTTCTATCCTGAGTTTCTACATCCCCTTCTTCCTGACAAACTCTGGGTAGCTGTGCCCAAAACATACCCAAATCTGTGGGTGAAATGTGAGACTGCCTGATATGCAAGCGAGTGTAGTATTAGACTTGTCTTGTTACGGGTTTGCTCTGCTGCGGGTAGTTAGACAGCTGCTTAATGTGATTTGGGATTTGAGATTAGCCGTAAGGACTCCTGTTTAAATCAAGATTAAATTCTGAGTAATATACGAGCTGGTTCAAGCATGCTTTGTGGTCTGAACTAAGCAATTTGCCTGTGTGGGGTTTTTGAATAATTTATGCAATGTTTCTTCTGCAAAAAGAATGCCAAAGAATCCATGAGCTGGAGACAAAAATTCTACGCCTTTTGGGCATTATCTCTTCTCCTAAAATTACAAACCAGAATCATAAAGCCCACTGTTGCTTTGTCCATATTTTGGCAAGAACATGTGTTAACCATTGTGCTCTTAATTCTTCAGGGGTGCAATTTTTTTCCACCTGTTGTGTTGAGGACATTGTACATGATCTGAAATGTTTGGAGCAGGATTGTCAATTTGGTCAATTGTATAAACATAATAATAACAAGTAGATTGTGGGTGTATTTTCAGACTGCTTCTGGTCTTATGTTTACTGTCAATATTTCGTGAAGAGAGAATAATTTCAATGGGAGATTTCTGAAGATTCACCTCTTTCTACCTACTTTATAATCATGAGTACGCAGTTTAAGGAATTTTTCCAAGGTGAGAAAAAATTAAGTTTTTATGCTTCAGAAGGGGCAAAAGAATTTGAACTTTGTCATCCCACATTCCAGTTGAGTACTAACTGGGCTGTGCTGTGCAAGCCCTTGTCTGGAACTGTGTGCCTTCCAGTCCTAGAGCTGAGAAGATCCATTGGATTGAGACCGATGGTGCAGAACATGATGAGTTGGGAATCTGACATTTTTGTCTGGAAGTACTTCATTCGAGAGTCTCACTGAGACAAACATTTTGGTTCAAAGACATGGATTCTATGAAAACTGATCATTTATAAGTTTTATTTTGAAAACTGAGCACTTGGGGGCAGGGGGGAAAGACAACTGCAAGGGTAGGCAACAGCAGCAGAGTGGTAGCTCTGAGCACTCAAAAAACCTTTATGAATTTTTTCCTTAATACCTCTTAGGGAAATGTTTCTAAAGTGCTTACGTGAAGATATTCTTGTACATACCTGTGTTTTCTGGAATGGAAGATCCAAATATATTAGAAATGTACTTACTTTTTTGTTTGTTTGTTTGTTTTTGCCCCGCTGGCAATACATTTGCTGAAGAGGAAGATTAAGTTTAGTACCCTAAAACTAAGCTACACTTTTATTTGTCATTTTCTTTTGCAGAGTGGTGTATCTTCCAAGAAACACCATATTTAGTTGCTTTCAGTTTGAGAAGTGAAGCAGCTTCTTCCCATCTCCATTTATGATAGAGAACACCTTTTTCTGAGTTACTGAGCTCTGTTTGTGAAATTTCCCTAGGCATGTTTGGTAGACTAGTTCCTAAACATTAATTGCTAGGGCTTCATTCTACTGATGAGATCTTCTGGCTTCTGTAATCTACAACATAAAATGCTCATTACAGGCCCATGCAAGCTCAGGTTCAGGAAACTTATGCAGCTCTGAGAATTTGAGATAATATATAGTAGTTTGTGCTTGTCTCTGGCTATCTAGTCTTGATGTTTAGTTAGTTGGAGTGGGGGAGTGATTTATTTGTATTTGAGGAGTTACTGACGTTTCTAATGACTTCTGAAAGTGCAAAAAATACTGGTTAGCTTAATGTTCCATCTCTATTTTTCAGAATCCTTCTTTGTCTTATGATGTTAATGCTAATAGAATTCAGCTACAATTTTTGCAAAACAGATTTGAGAAAGTGGTCTAAATGTTTTCTAAGATGTAGGCAGCAGTTGACTTCCTCTACACTCCAGGATTTAGAGAATTATTAAAAAAATAGCTGATTGATCTTTTTACTTCTTGATCACTGTTTTGGAAAAGTGAAATAAGGCAAACAGTCTTACTTACTTGAAGCAAGCGTAATGCTTTAAAGAGTGCCCAGAATTTGTTTTTAGAATATTTTACAAGATTGTAGCTGCAAATGCATTCTGGCTGGTATTATGTCAAAATTTCAAGCATCAATAAAATCCAGTCCTGAAGAATGCTGAAATCTAGAGCTCTCTAAAAATCCTCAGTGAGGCCTGAGAGGGGAAGATAGGGATATCTGTGTTTGTGAATTCATGCCTAAAATTCTATATCCCAATGTGAGAGCAGGGCTTTTCTCTCTTGCTTCCTTTCTAGCCTCCTAAATTTGTTGTGAACTCATATTCTCTCCATCCCTCTTTTTTTTTTTTTTTTTAATTCTCCCACCCTTTTTTTTTCCTCTTTATCCCTCAAAAACATATCCTTTGCATGGGGTTGAACTCAGCTAAATTTACTGTCTAAAAGCTAAGCGTGTAATCTTAGCCAGGTGACCGCTGCAGGCAGTAAAAAGAGATGGGTACCTACGT